AGGCCAAGTTCGCTGGAAACTGGAACAGATAGACAGCTTACACCAACTATGTCGGAAACCGGAACAGATAGCCAGTGTAGGCCAAGTTTGTTGGAAACTGGAACAGATAGCCAGTGTAGGCCAAGTTTGTTGGAAACTGGAACAGATAGCCATTGTAGAGCAACTATGTCAGAAACTAGAACGAACTGGAACGAGTTCGTGTGTTAAAACAACAAAAGGCAGTAACTGAATCTAGTTGTAGAAAAGCTAGAAATAAGCTTACTACTTTGATAGAAAATCATGATCAACCATCACTGAGCTAAGGGATGGTGTCGATCAAATGAATGCTGATTTTGTGAAAGCAATGGATGTTATGATAAAGCTTTAAGGGTTTATGTTAAACTGGAGGAACGTGACAATGTTAAAAAGATGGATCAAGAAATAGATCGTTTGGAGAAGGAAAACAACTTAGCTCTTGAATCTTGAAAAGGATATCTGCAAAGCAGATCTGAATCTAATAGATCAGGAAATAAGATCCCAAATTATTAAACAACAAAGTCATGGTCAGAAGGATGAGCTAGCATTGCATGTTGGTATAACAAAATGCCCAGGTAAGTCTGATAATAAGGCCATAGGGAACGACATGTGGAAACAGTTGAAACATGTGTCGATACCTGTATTCTCAGGTGGTATAAAAACATCCAAGTTGGAAGGCTGCCTTTATGACTTGCATTGATCAGTCCACAGCCACATCTGAGTACAAGTTCTTACAACTGCGCCAATATCTCTCGGGCGAAGCGTTGAAATCAATTGAGTCTTTAGGTCACAGCTCAGTTGCTTATGAGTTGCTTGCACTAGAACGTCTTGACAGAAAGTTTGGTGGGAAGAGGCAGCAGATTGCAGTCCAAAATGAGGAAATTAGTAATTTCAAGCCAATTCATGAAGGCCATGTTCAGGATCTAGAGAAATTTGCTAATATTTTGGATGTTGCAGTCGCAAACATCACAGAATCTGACAAGATGGAGGAGTTAGGTAATGGCCTGCTTTAGGCCACCTTGTTGAAAAAGATGACTGAATTTATGGTCGCTCAATTTTAAAGGTGGGTGTATGAAAGGGACAGACAGGAGTCAGTAGAGACTCTCAGAGAATGGATAATGTTAGAATCAGAATTTCAGATTGTTGCACAGGAATAAGCACATGGATTGACTACACCAGGTAAGAGATCACAGGCAAAACAGGAAATGTCTAGCACATTTGTTAGTGATGTTAGTATCTGTGGTGTATGTGCTGAAGAGCATGAAATTTGGAACTGCAAAGTTTTCAAAGGTATGCTTGTTTCTGATTGATGGAACGAAGCCAAAAGATTGAAGCTTTATTTTCGATGTCTTAGGGACAATCGCCTTGGTAACAGCTGTTGTCAAAATAGGTTGTGTGGTATATCGGGTTGTTCAAGGAACCACAACAGACTATTACATAATGGAAACACTAGAAAGAATGAGTTCATTAACAAGACTTCGCGTGTCTACCAACACAGAGATATAGCAAACCACAAGTTGATGAGATTAATTTGGGTCACGATGCAGAAAACTCAAAATCTCCAAAACGTGATCAAACTGCAACATCTCATGTAACAATGCCACCGACATCAAACACTTTGATAGCTCTTCACACTGTTCCAGTGCTTTTGAAAAATGGGACTCGGAGCATTACAATAAATGCTTTGTTGGATAATGCGAGCACAAAGTCTTACATTAATGCCGACATTGCAGCTGAGTTGGGTTTACGGGGGGGACAACAGAAGATCTTTGCAAATGTTCCAAATGGTCACACAGAATTGTTTTAGACAACCAGGAACTACCATAAGCACCAGCATTTCGTCTGAGACTAAAACCTTGTGGCCGAAGTCTCTTAACTTAGTGGCAGATAGGGTTGGTTGGACCAGAAACACAAGAAGGTATATAATAAGGGTGTGCGGTATTACCGGTACACTGGTATATTGTGGTGCAAATCTTCAGCAATACGTATTGTGATATGTTTGTAAATGTAGCAATATATTGGGGCAATATAAATAAGTATATTTATGTGTTCCTTATCGATCTGGAGATGGAAAATAGCATCTTTCTGATACAACTCGCATCAGACAATCTTTTTATTAATTAGCGTGTACACATCACAGCTATCAAGCTTCTCACAGCGATAACCTGTTCGCAGAGCTCTCTATACCGAGAGTATAACAAAGGTGTCACACGCTGGGAAGGAGCTTGCTCTACCATGTGACCGTATTATCTCCCTTTATCGTTGATGCAATACAAAATAGCAGATGATTTCGACATCGTCGTAAATAAGGGACACTGACGGATGGTATCTGACATTAATACAGGGTATAACTCTGATTAACTCATGAAAATGTAAATTGGCAATATATTGCAATATATATCACAATACAGGTTAAAGTATGGCAATATATACAATAGAAAATCAAGGGCAATACACAGCCCCAGTATAAAATCCTCCTCGTGTGATTGCTGGGGGAACGATGGTGATGGTCCAAGGGCCTGACACTGTACGCCTTGCACATCCCCTACTGTAAGGAAGAGGGTTCACTGTACGCCCTGCACATCCCCTACTGTAAGGAAGAGGGTTCACTGTACACCCTGCACATCCCCTACTGTAAGGAAGAGGGTTCACTGTACGCCCTGCACATCCCCAACTGTAAGAAAGAGGGTTCACTGTACGCCCTGCACATCCCCTACTGTAAGGAAGAGGGTTCACTGTACGCCCTGCATACCCCCACTTTAAGCAAGAGGGTTCACTGCACGCCCTGCACATCCCCTACTGTAAGGAAGAGGGTTGACTGTACGCCCTGCATATCCCCTACTGTAAGGAAGAGGGTTCACTGTACGCCCTGCATACCCCTACTTTAAGGAAGAGGGTTCACTGTACGCCCTGCACATCCCCTACTGTAAGGAAGCTGGTTCACTGTATGCCCTGCACATCCCCTACTGTAAGGAAGAGGGTTCACTGTACGCACTGTACATCCCCTACTGTAAGGAAGAGGGTTCACTGTACGCCCTGCATACCCCTACTTTAAGCAAGAGGGTTCACTGCACGCCCTGCACATCCCCTACTGTAAGGAAGAGGGTTCACTGTACGCCCTGCATATCCCCTACTGTAAGGAAGAGGGTTCACTGTACGCTCTGCACATCCCCTATTGTAAGAAAGAGGGTTCACTGTACGCCCTGCATATCCCCACTTTAAGCAAGAGGGTTCACTGCACGCCCTGCACATCCCCTACTGTAAGGAAGAGGGTTCACTGTACGCCCTGCATATCCCCTACTGTAAGGAAGAGGGTTCACTGTATGCCCTGCATACCCCTACTTTAAGCAAGGGGGTTCACTGCACGCCCTGCACATCCCCTACTGTAAGGAAGAGGGTTCACTGTACGCCCTGCACATCCCCTACTGTAAGGAAGAGGGTTCACTGTACGCCCTGCATATCCCCTACTGTAAGGAAGAGGGTTCACTGTACGCCCTGCACATCCCCTACTGTAAGGAAGAGGGTTCACTGTACGCCCTGCACATCCCCTACTGTAAGGAAGAGGGTTCACTGTACGCCCTGCATATCCCCTACTGTAAGGAAGAGGGTTCACTGTACGCCCTGCACATCCCCTACTGTAAGGAAGAGGGTTCACTGTACGCCCTGCACATCCCCTACTGTAAGGAAGAGGGTTCACTGTACGCCCTGTTCATCCCCTACTGTAAGGAAGAGGGTTCACTGTACGCCCTGCATACCCCTACTGTAAGGAAGAGGGTTCACTGTATGCCCTGCATATCCCCTACTGTAAAAAAGAGGGTTCACTGTATGCCCTGCACATCCCCTACTGTAAGGAAGAGGGTTCACTGTATGCCCTGCACATCCCCTACTGTAAGGAAGAGGGGTCACTGTACGCCCTGCATATCCCCTACTGTAAGGAAGAGGGTTCACTGTACGCCTTGCACATCCCCTACTGTAAGGAAGAGGGTTCACTGTACGCCTTGCACATCCCCTACTGTAAGGAAGAGGGTTCACTGTAGGGCTTGGACAATGCACCAACTGTGATCCGATACGTATCACGATACCTTGTTCAGATCCGATTCGTATCAGGGTACCTTGTTCAAGATCCTATATGTATCACGAAACTTGCATGTGCTCTTATCTGTGGTGCGTAAGCCATCTTTTTCATAGACAGGATGACCAAATACCTGGTACACTGACGATTTTCAGTTGGCAGTGTCAAGTATGGCGCAATGGATGAAAATATTTACTTTTTCACCACTAATTGGTGTTTCGTGCAACAGCCATTAAAGTAAACATTTAAGGTATGAATCGATATATTTTTTACTTAGTGTGTGACTGTGATCGATACTTGTATCAGGAAGTTAAATATCGCGATCCACTGATGCATCAGTCTATCATCCCACCACTAGTATTCTGTAGCCAAGGTACAAGAACAGTAGTTAAGCAAGGTGTCGGCTACATCATGTACATCTCAGCCAGAACACAAACGACTAGCAAAATACAGTAAAGTACCATATTCATGAACCTAGTGCCAAACTGATTTGCAAAATTACTTCATCCACAATAAATATTGAAACACATGTGGCCACGCCTCCTTCCCAGACTGTCGTCGACTGATGGGCAAGGTGTTTGTTTGTTTGTTGTTTAACACCGCACTCAGCAATATTCCAACTATATGACGGTGGTCTGTAAATAATCGAGTCTGGACCAGACAATCCAGTGATAGACATCATGAGCATCGATCAATGCATTTGGGATCCGATGACATGCACAATAAAAGTCAGTCAGTCTGACCACCTGATCCTGTCAGTCGCCTCTTACGACAAGCATAGTCGCTTCTTACGGCAAGCATGGGTTGCTGAAGACCTATTCTACCCCGGGTCTTCACGGGTCAAGGTGTTATGTGCCAGGTTCCCACAAGTTCAACAAAACAAACAACAATTACAATATGTGCAGTGCCTCACCTTGTCTCTTATTTCTCGAGATATATCCAGGTGGCGGACACAGCACACAATGGCCTCATCGAACTTTCCCAGGACTTTGAGTGTATTTCCAAGGTTGCCGCTGGCTTTGGCTTCCCCCATCCTGTCAGCAAGAGCTCTGAAACACCAGTCAACAGTAAGTCAATAGTAAGTCCATACTACGTCTACAGTAAGTCAACAGTGAGTGAGTGAGTGAGTGAGTGAGTGAGTGAGTGAGTGAGTGAGTGAGTATGGTTTTATGGTGCTTTTAGCAATATTCCAGCAATATCACAACGGGGACAACATAAATGGGCTTTACATATTGTACCCATGAAGAGAATCGAACCTGGGTCCTCGGCATGACAAGCAAACTCTTTAAGCACGAGGCTACCTCCCCGCCCCCAAAATTAGTAAACAGTAGGTCCATAGTAAGTCCAGAGTAGGTCTGTAGTAAGTCTTTTACATATCAGGTCATTCAGTTCCCAAATCACTTTTCATCATTAATGACCGATTAATTTCTTGCTTCTTTAGACAAACCCCAAAGCAGAGCTACAGATAGGCTGCATAATTGCGTAAAATACCCCACCCATCCCCCACCCCAAACTATTCAAAACACAATTACTTTCAATTAACTTGCGTAAAGAAAAGCATGCATTAATGGAAAACTCAATTGTCTGAAAACAGCACACGTAAATACCCAATGAAGCTTTTTCAGCATGCATACAACAGTGCTAATATCTGGAGCTCTGACTTAAAGGTTTCGGGCCTATTGACATAACAACAGACATGCTGGAACAGATTGTTAGTGGAAGAAGTTGTAGGGTCAGACAGTGCCTGCTTTGGGATAAACTTCTTTATTTTCTATGTAACAGTTTGCTACAGATGCCATTTGTTTGATAGAAGTACAAGCACCTTAAGCAAACATCACATTGCAAGAATATAAAACCTGACATCCTTAAAAGTCAAGTCAGTCTCCATGGATGATGTTGTTGACCCACATGATGCCAGAGACCCTGGTGTTCCTGGCTGATGGGTTAGAGTACAACCAAAAACATGTAAACGTCATACCTATTAAGTCGTACCAATTGACCAACTGACCAACATAAATCAATAATTATCAAACATTAATGGTGGTTGCTATGGCTACATGTTGCACAAACACATACTATGACCTACTCCAGCACAGCAACATAGTGTTGACATGCGCCTTCAATGAAATACATCCCTTTTGCTGAACACTACAATGGGAACAGTAACCGTTATGATTGACCCTGTAACTCTTCAATGTTTCAATCCATGCATTTTGTAAATAGTCACCTTCATCCATCTAACATATATACATGAAACAATAGGACACCATCATGACTGCATTGTCACCTCACTGTGGGATATATAGACCAGAGCTCCAGATAAGCTTTTGGTGTTGTGGGTATTTTACCCATGCATTTTAAAATCATTGGGTATCAGTAATTCTATCTGGGTATTCAAATTTCTGTTACCCACTAGTTTTTACACATGTGGTTATTTAAGTTAAATATTTAAAAACACTATTCATCTAGTCCCTGCAAACTGGTGTCGTGTGGGTTGGAGAGCTTTACAGAACTCAAAAATACCGCGATACTTCCACAAGAAAGTGTGATGGCAAATGATCATGATGTAACTGTCATCGTAGAGTTTGGCAAGGTTGACGGAATGCCCGTTTATAATTTGAAAATAAGTTGCTGATTTGCTAATCGAATACGCAGGGTTACTTCACAATATTTTGATAATACGCACAAGTTTTAATTTTGTAGCGTATTTGTAATGTTCGTTGCGTATTTGATACGCTTGGATTTTATTTAACTGCGTATTTCTGCATTTCTGATGCGTATTTTACGCAGATACGCAGCTTATCTAGAGCTCTGTAGACTGTAACAGGTTGTATACATTGTTCTGAATAGAATAGAACACCTCACTGTGGGATATATAGACTCTAAATGTGTTGTATACATTGTCTAACACAGAACACCTCATTGTAGGCCATAGAGACTGGAACATGTTGTATACAATGTTCTATATAGAACACCTCATTGTGAGATGTATAGACTGTCATTGACTGTAACATGTTGTATACAATGTTCTATATAGAACACTTCACTGTGGGATATATAGACTGTCATTGACTGTAACATGTTGTATACAATGTTCTATATAGAACACCTCCCTGTAGGATGTATAGACTGTCATTGACTGGAACATGTTGTATACAATGTTCTATATAGAACACATCACTGTGGGATATATAGACGGTCATTGACTGTAACATGTTGTATACAATGTTCTATATAGAACACCTCACTGTGAGATGCATAGACTGTCATTGACTGTAATATGTTGTTTACAATGTTCTATAAAGAACACCTCACTGTGGGATGTATAGACTGTCATTGACTGTAACATGTTGTATACAATGTTCTATATAAAACACCTCACTGTGGGATGTATAGACTGTCATTGACTGTAACATGTTGTATACAATGTTCTATATAGAACACCTCACTTTGAGATGCATAGACTGTCATTGACTGAAACATGTTGTATACATTATTCTATATAGAGTGAGTGAGTTGGGTTTAACACAGCTTTTAACAGTATTCCAGTTATATCATTGTGTGTCAGCCCTATGTGGGAGGACAGCCCGAAGTGATGCAGGTTTCAGACGTTTACCACTTCGGTGAAACCCACGAGGACGGGTGTGGTGCTGACAAACCTTGAAACATAACCGGGATTCGAACCCACAATCATAGGTTTCTGGCCTTCCCCAGGGATACAACTCTGCACAATGAATCGCGGCACCTTAGACAACCTGGCCCCCTATTCTATATAGAACACATCAGAGTGGGATACATACACTGTAACATGTTGTATACACTGTTCTATATAGAACACCTCACTGTGGGATATATGCACTGTAACATGTTGTATACACTGTTCTATATAGAACACATCAGAGTGGGATACATACACTGTAACATGTTGTATACATTGTTCTATATAGAACACCTCATTGTTGGATACATACACTGTAACATGTTGTGTACATTGTTCTATATAGAACACATCAGAGTGGGATACATACACTGTAACATGTTGTATACATTGTTCTATATAGAACACCTCACTGTTGGATACATACACTGTAACATGTTGTATACATTGTTCTATATAGAACACATCAGAGTGGGATACATACACTGTAACATGTTGTATACACTGTTCTATATAGAACACCTCACTGTGGGATATATTCACTGTAACATGTTGTATACATTGTTCTATATAGAACACATCAGAGTGGGATACATACACTGTAACATGTTGTATACATTGTTCTATATAGAACACCTCACTGTTGGATACATACACTGTAACATGTTGTATACATTGTTCTATATAGAACACATCAGAGTGGGATACATACACTGTAACATGTTGTATACATTGTTCTATATAGAACACCTCACTGTTGGATACATACACTGTAACATGTTGTATACATTGTTCTATATAGAACACATCAGAGTGGGATACATACACTGTAACATGTTGTATACACTGTTCTATATAGAACACCTCACTGTGGGATATATTCACTGTAACATGTTGTATACATTGTTCTATATAGAACACCTCACTGTGGGATACATACACTGTAACATGTTGTATACATTGTTCTATATAGAACACCTCACTGTGGGATATATGCACTGTAACATGTTGTATACATTGTTCTATATAGAACAACTCACTGTGGGATATATTCACTGTAATATGTTGTATAAATTGTTCTTTATCATGTTTATAGAACACCTCACTGTGGGATACATACACTGTAATATGTTGTATAAATTGTTCTTTATAGAACACCTCACTGTGGGATATATTCACTGTAATATGTTGTATAAATTGTTCTTTATAGAACACCTCACTGTGAGGTAGACTGTCGAAATGTTTGATAGGCATTACTTAGAAGTTGACGAATGACAAAGTAGACACAATCTATGGATAACAACTTCTTTAATACTGTGAAGTTGACGTTTCTGTATAGATCCTTATACCGTTGTCAAGCAAGACTGTCTAAGACTGTCTAAGACTGTATAAGGTTCTATACTGAAATGTCGCCTTTACAGTATTAAAGAAGTTGTTATCCATAAATTGTGTCTACTTTGATATAGACTGTCATTATTCTAGACATTATTCTATACAGTTTATTTGTTATTTTGTTGTTTAACACCACAATCAGGATTATTCCAGCTGTATGACAGCGTCTGTAAATAATAGAGTCTGGACCACACAATCCAGTGATTGACATCATGTGCATCGAGCCACGCAATTGGGATCAATGACATGCATCTACCAAGTCAGCGAGCCTGACCACCTGATCCCATTAGTCGCCTCTTACAACAAGCTTAGTCGCCTTATGTATACTTTAATCTATATAGAACACCTCACATCACTGACACAGATTATAACATGTATACATTGTTCTATATAGAACACCTCACATCACTGACACAGATTATAACATGTATACATTGTTCTATATAGAACACCTCACATCACTGACACAGATTATAACATGTATACATTGTTCTATATAGAACACCTCACATCACTGACACAGATTATAACATGTATACATTGTTCTCTATAGAACACCTCACATCACTGTCACAGATTATAACATGTATACATTGTTCTATATAGAACACCTCACATCACTGTCACAGATTATAACATGTATACATTGTTCTCTATAGAACACCTCACATCACTGTCACAGATTATAACATGTATACATTGTTCTCTATAGAACACCTCACATCACTGTCACAGATTATAACATGTATACATTGTTCTCTATAGAACACCTCACATCACTGTCACAGATTATAACATGTATACATTGTTCTCTATAGAACACCTCACATCACTGTCAGATTATAACATGTATACATTGTTCTCTATAGAACACCTCACAACACTGTCACAGATTATAACATGTATACATTGTTCTATATAAAACACCTCACATCACTGTCACAGATTATAACATTTACACATTGTTCTATATAAAACACCTCACATCACTGACACAGATTATAACATGTACACATTGTTCTATATAGAACACCTCACATCACTGTCACAGATTATAACATGTATACATTGTTCTACCATTAGGCGACACTTTTTTGATTTCTTGGTTTACGGATGTGGCGCTCTTTCAAAGTCCAAATGTTAAAAAAAAAGAAAAAAGGAAAATTACCCTTTTGTCATTACCGCCGATCTTTTCGTCAAAAAGTTCTTACAAGAAAAGATTTCATTTCCTCGTCGAGCGTATAGCAAAGGGAAGTCACTCTGATATTTCTCGCTGGGATCATTCTCTAATACCATCAAAGCTTGTCAACGCAAAGCGCAGTGGTGACCAGTTTAACTCTTTCAACACTGCTGGCCGGTCAAGAAACCACGAGTCACACCGCTGGGTAGACCGACCAAGTCCCATCAAAATGGTTTATAATTTTATTAATCTACTTGTCATATCATTCATTTATTAAATCTATCACATTTCACAATGTCTGAAATACGTATTCCATTTGATTTTATCATTTTATATCTATAGATTAAAAATATATTCACTTGACACTATTTCACGCAATGTTATTGAAAATATAATTCTGGGACATACTTTGACAACAGGTCCTCATCAAACATGTCAACAGCAAAATAAAGACGTTTCATGCAAATCTTTGAATATAATATACAAAGTAAGAAAATCAACAAAAATATATCTAAAAGATGTCTGTGTTATTCATATGAAGCTTTGAAAATGGGGGTATTTCCTCATGTTAGTGAGCGGACAGCCACTATCATCGGGAAATAGGTGATGACAGATATTATTTGCAATTCTTTTTAAAATAATGTTCCGACTACGTAAACAAATGAAAATAAAAAAGAATTAGGTAAGTGGATTTTATTAAGTCTTATATTTGCCGAAAATTGTTAAATTTTCGCTTCAATGGTCCTTAATCTGGACAAAATGAATGTTTTAGCTTACAATATTTTTATTTAAAACGAACTTTATTAAGTTGTTAATGAAAATCTAAATTATGTAATACACATAACTTTCATATCAATAAACAATAGGATTAATTAGACCTTTCAAATAGTGTATGGCCAAACATGTAGTAGCAAAGATGTTTTACAAGCAGATAATCTCCTTGATAAATGTTGGCTTCATCTATCCCACAAAAGTCTCTGGGAACTTGGTGTCACAGCAGTAATCTTCTGGTTGGCTGGTGTTGAAAGAGTTAAACATTGCCTGTGCTGCCAAAATAGCAGCGTCCTTCAGCAGGTATAGAACTTTGGTACAGCTGATTGCTATTGCTGGATTCTTTTACCTATGGAACAATGTGAAAGGTCACCACTGAGTCTTCTCGTGGCTATTTCGATCTTGAATAGATTTTGTTGACATAAAATAGTAAAACTACAACTAATATGTGCTAGTCATAGAAGGGGTTTCCTTGATTGAATTGAAACTTACTGATTTACAGAAAACTGTCAGAACACTGAATGGATTTGTTATCAGAACAGGAATATCCCCCACATGCCTTGATTTAACTGACTTCAATAATTCTCAATTTGTATGCAAATAGTATGCAATATATATTGTGTGGTAAAATCCTGACTTGCTGTACATGGAGAAGTGGACAGAAATATGCAGAGTGGTACTAACCAGGAATAGGTGGGACACAGAACCAGCCAGTCAGTGTGTTAGATGTAGGGGGGGGGGTGCTACACAATCTTGGACTCCCATATCTTTCATTCTCAACACGAGGGGCATGTAAAGCTTTTCAGTTAATTCTTAATTTAGGCAAGGCCAAGACATGTGGCATGTATGCAGGAGACTGTGACAATGTATGTAACCTTGAGCCTACGGTTGCCGATCATCACCGTCATTAACAGCTTAGCCTCTGCTCATTGACTACTCAAGCCATCAGTTGCCTGTCAGTGGCTCGGATTAAATCTATTCCTTATCAAACGCCAAACTCAATTGCTCCTACAAGCATTTCTTCACAAACCAATTATATTAAGGAGATAAATTATGCCTGTGGCATATCCAGTAGTTTCTGCCCAAGTGGTGGTTTGTCTCAGCACAGGCAGGCTAGCCCCAACACAGTGTCACCTGATCAAGTCACACCTACTTACTGCACACAACAAATATCTACTCTACTGACCATGCACAGCTGCTAGTCAGTCTGTACAAGCCAAGGTCACAGTGTTATTATTAACATAAGCTAGACACCACAGTTGGACAGCATACTTGGCGGAGGGAAAAGCTATCACCAATAGGGCATTTAAATCAGTCTTGGCTACGACACTGCCAGTCAGAGTGCCTGCTAGGAATCCATTAATCCCAATGTGCTTGTTCTCATGAAAGTACCCTTTCTACCTCTAAATATTCACTGATGTCAGTAAACAGAAAATTATTAAAATTAAATGATTATGAAAATCTGGTAAGAATGAAGTACATGCCTGCTTGCATGAAGCAATTACCGTGCTGTTACTGACATCGAAGTTGCACCCAGATGGATGCACACAGACAGAAGGTTAAACACAGTGCTTTACAAATGACAGGACTGCCAAAAAGACAATCCCATGCAACACAGCTGATGTCCACTAGTACATGTCCATGATGTCCACACACTGGGATGGCTATCACATGGAAGACAGAGGCACAACACACACCCACCTGGCCAGATTCAGGTCATGTTTGTGGTACTCCAAGGCCTTGACATACTCCTGCAGGTAGAAGTACGCGTTGCCCAACTGACTGTAGATGGCGCTCAGGGTCTTTAGATCGTCGGTGCCGGCTTGCACGGCCGCCTCGAAGAACTGTACTCCTGTGTGGCAGTCCCCCGCCTTGCAGAGTCTCTCCCCTTCCAGGGCTAGTTCCATACAACTACACTCCAGCCTCTGCAACACAGAACAATCAATATTCCAGGGCAGTCGGCGCCATCACCGCCGCCTCACTTCGGGAGAAGGAGGAGGACTCTATAATAACTTTACATGCATGCACGACACACTGCTTCGTTAGCTGACGCACTGTTCATATACACTGTACACACTGTACACCATTCATTATACACCACACTACACCAGGCATTATACACCACACTACACCAGTCATTATACACCACATTGTACACTAGTCATTATACACCATACTGCACACCAGTCATTATACACTACACTTCACCAGTCATTATACACCACACTGTACACCAGTCATTATACACCACACTACACCAGTCATTATACACCACACTAAACCAGTCATTATACACACACTAAACCAGTCATTATACACCACACTACACCAGTCATTATACACCACACTACACCAGTCATTATACACCACACTACACCAGTCATTATACACCATACTGTACACCAGTGATTATACACCATACTGTACACGAGTCATTATACACCACACTGTACACCAATAATTATACACAACACTACACCAGGCATAAAACACCATACTGTACACCAGTCATTATACACCACACTGTACACCAATCATTATACACCACACTACACCAGTCATTATACACCACACTACACCAGTCATCATACACCACACTACACCAGTCATTATACACCACATTGTACACTAATCATTATACACCATACTGTACACCAGTCATTATACACTACACTTCACCAGTCATTATACACCACACTGTACACCAGTCATTATACACACCAGTCTTAATAAAACAAACTGTACAGCAGCCATTATACGCCACACTACACCTGTCATTATACACCAAACTAAACCAGTCATTATACACCACACTACACCAGTCATTATACACCACAATGTACACCAGTCATTATATACCAAACTAAACCAGTCATTATACACCACACTACACCAGTCATTATACACCACACTACACCAGTCATTATACACCACACTACACCAGTCATTATACACCATACTGTACACCAGTCATTATACACCACACTGTACACCAGTCATTATACACCACACTAAACCAGTCATTATACACCACACTACACCAGTCATTAGACACTACACTACACCAGTCATTATACACCACACTACACCAGTCATTATACACCACACTACACCAGTCATTATACACCATACTGTACACCAGTCATTATACACCACATCGTACACCAGTCATTATACACCACACTAAACCAGTCATTATACACCACACTACACCAGTCATTATACACCACACTACACCAGTCATTAGACACCACACTACACAAGTCATTATACACCACACTACACGAGTCATTATACTCCACACTACACCAGTTATCATACACCACACTACACGAGTCATTATACACCACACTACACCAGTCATTATACACCAGTCATTATACACCACACTAAACCAGTCATTATACACCACACTGTACACCAGTCATTATACACCACACTAAACCAGTCATTATACACCAGTCATTATACACCATACTATACAGCAGCCATTATTCACCACACTTCACCAGTCATTATACACGATACTGTACACCAGTCATTATACACCACACTACACCAGTCATTATACACTACACTACACCAGTCATTATACACCATACTGTACACCAGTCATTATACACCACACTAAACCAGTCATTATACACCACACTACACCAGTCATTATACACCATACTAAACCAGTCATGAAACACCATACTGTACACCAGGCATTACACACATTACTGTACACCAGTCATTATACACCATACTGTACACCAGTCATTATACACCACACTAAACCAGTCATTATACGCCACACTAAACCAGTCATTATACACCACACTGTACACCAGTCATTATACACCACACTAAACCAGTCATTGTACGCCACACTTTACACCAGTCATTATACACCACACTAAACCAGTCATTATACACCACACTTTACACCAGTCAATATACACCACACTACACCAATCATTATACACCACTTTACACCAGGCATTATACACCACACTACACCAACCATTATACACCACTCTACACCAGGCATTATACACCACACAATACCAGTCATTATACACTACACCAGTCATTATACACCATACTGTACACCAGTCATTTTACACCACACGACACCAGTCATTATACACCACACTAAACCAGTCATTATACACCACACTACACCAGTCATTATACACCATACTAAACCAGTCATGAAACACCATACTGTACACCAGGCATTACACACATTACTGTACACCAGTCATTATACACCATACTGCACACCAGTCATTATACACCACACTACACTGTCATTATACACCATACTGTACACCAGTCATTATACACCACACTACACCAGTCATTATACACCATACTGTACACCAGTCATTACACACCACACTACACCAGTCATTATACACCACACTACACCAGTCATTATACACCACACTACACCAGTCATTATACACCACACTACACCAGTCATTATACACCACACACTACCAGTCATTATACACTACACCAGTCATTATACACCACTCTACACCAGTCATTATACACCACACTGTACACCAGTCATTACACCACACTACACCAGTCATTATACACCACACTACACCAGGCATTATACACCACACAATACCAGTCATTATACACTACACCAGTCATTATACACCATACTGTACACCAGTCATTTTACACCACAAGACACCAGTCATTATACACCACACTAAACCAGTCATTATACACCACACTACACCAGTCATTATACACCATACTGTACACCAGTCATTTTACACCATACTGTACACCAGTCATTATACAACACAATACACTGTCATTATACACCATACTGTACACCAGTCATTATACACCACACTACACTGTCATTATACACCATACTGTACACCAGTCATTATACACCACACTACACCAGTCATTATACACCATACTATACAGCAGCCATTATTCACCACACTTCACCAGTCATTATACACGATACTGTACACCAGTCATTTTACACCACACGACACCAGTCATTATACACCACACTACACCAGTCATTATACACCACACTACACCAGTCATTATACACCACACTACACCAGTCATTATACACCATACTAAACCAGTCATGAAACACCATACTGTACACCAGGCATTACACACATTACTGTACACCAGTCATTATACACCATACTGTACACCAGTCATTATACACCACACTACACTGTCATTATACACCATACTGTACACCAGTCATTATACACCACACTACACCAGTCATTATACACCATACTGTACACCAGTCATTATACACCACACTACACTGTCATTATACACCATACTGTACACCAGTCATTATACACCACACTACACCAGTCATTATACACCATACTGTACACCAGTCATTATACACCACACTACACTGTCATTATACACCACACTGTACACCAGTCATTATACACCACACTACACCAGTCATTATACACCACACTTTACACCAGTCAATATACACCACACTACACCAGTCATTATACACCACACTACACTGTCATTATACACCATACTGTACACCAGTCATTATACACCACACTACACCAGTCATTATACACCATACTGTACACCAGTCATTATACACCACACTACACTGTCATTATACACCATACTGTACACCAGTCATTACACACCACACTAGACCAGTCATTATACACCATACTGTACACCAGTCATTATACACCACACTACACCAGTCATTATACACCATACTATACACCAGTCATTATACACCATACTGTACAGCCGCCATTATACACCACACTACACCAGTCATTATACACCATACTGTACACCAGTCATTATACACACCAGTCGTAATAAAACAAACTGTACAGCAGCCATTATACGCCACACTACACCTGTCATAATACACCACATGTACATACTGTACACATGTCATTATACACCATACAGTACAGCATTGTCATTATACACCATAAAGTACAGCAGTCATTATACACGACGCTACACCAGTCATAACAAGCATGAAATACTCACATCCCCCGCCAGTATGACATTTTGGGTGTGTGCAATGCTTTAGCTCCTGTGAACAATGTTCACTGGGCCTTTTTGTAAATGGCCTAATTGCAGCACTAATAAAAAGTTATTACTGGTGTTGTTTTTCCATCTGCAGTTTATGATAGAATATGTTACTGAATTTGTAATGAGTAAGGATGAGACATATGGAGGAACAACTTCTTTATTACAATTAGGAGCGATGGTTTCGGTGTAGGTTCTAACACCATTATCAAGCAAGTGAAGTACAGAGTATGGTTGACAAGAATATATAGTGTTTATACAGTTGAGTAGGTTTAAGATCAGTTACACTGTTGTATTTGTAATGAGTTGTGTTTCTGCATGAAGTTAGTCAGTGAATGCAACAACTGTGTCCATGACACTTTTGGAGGAACATACACTCAAGCAATGCAGAACTTACCGACAAGAAAGGAAATGTATGCAATACTGTGAGATGACATTATGTACCAAGTTTGATGAAGAAATATAGTACGGTTTTCAAGATCTGCTCCGGAAATGAGGACTACTGCCATTTTCAGTCTAAATCAAAGTCGTTGCCATGGAAACTCGAAAAATAACTTTTTTAAAAATCCAAAACTATCAAATGGCACCAGTTCACCACTAGACCTATCTATGTGCCAGGTATGGTGAATAAATATGGATGGTTTTCAAGATCTGCTCCGGAAACGAGGACTACCGCCATTTTCAGTCTAAATCAAAGTCGTTGCCATGGAAACTCGAAAAATAACTTTTTTTTAAATCCCAAACTATCAAAAGGCACCCTGTACATAAGTCCTTATACACCACACAGTACAGCTGTCCTTATACACCAACAACACTGTCATACACCATACTGTACAGT